ACGAGAAGCCAGTTTATGCCTAACCTTGTCTCACAAACAACCCACAGTGGGGTGAACACATGAGATAATTGGCAGTAGGCTATTTAAGCATCCAATACAAAATAACTCCCCTCTGGCCCAGAGCACCAAGCTGGGGCCATGAGCCCTGGGAATGCTCCCTCCACCCTCTCTTTTATTTAGGGTATCTGTTTTCACCATCCATTTTATGAATTATCCAGGTCCCCCACTACGTCCTCTCCCTTCTGTCCATATTTTGACTTATCCCCTTGCCCTCTGACCAAAAGAGACCACAGATGGCATGGAGTGGGGAATGAAAGTGATGCTAGGTTTGCTGTTTGGTGGTGGCCCTGGGTGCACATGCACGTCCTCATGTGTGTGTCTATTTGCAGAATGAATGAGAGAACAGGTGGGGGTTCTTGGCTGAAATGGGAACCTGTGATGCTCCAAGGATTCCAGCGGTTCTGTATCTCTTGCTTTTCTGTTGTTGCGGATAATTGGGAGGAGGCTGCCGGATATTGGTCCCTGTCCCATTGTCACTTCTGAGCCAGGGGGCTTGGGCCTGAACTGGAAGCTAAGGCCCTGAGTTTTCTCCCTACATTGCTCACTAAAGAATGAGTCACTCTTGTTTTCTCTCTTACCCCACCAAAATGATCTCACCTTAAAGGAGCAAATTTGTTTTCAAAGATCCACGTATTTACTCCTAAATTTATAGTTTAACTTGAGCCAAATGCAGACAACAAAAGGAATGTAAAACTCCCAAGGAGATTTTTAATAAAAAGACTACAGATTTAGAAATATTTGGGAATGAGGGCTCAGGCAAGCTGCTGTAACTGCCAACCCTTCTCCATGTGTCTTCACGTGGGGTATTTGTGAGGCCCTCTTGGGAAAGAAACAGTAATGGATACAAGCCGCAGGTTTCCCCACTCCCTCCAGGATTAGCACTTCCTCTCTCTGGCCTTAGGATGACTGTAAGGTGACGATTTAGTGATGAAGCCACAGTAGATTTTTCGTTATTTCTACATTCATGGGGAAAATGAATGGGCTGGGCAGGGTCCATGTTACCTGTTCATCCTGGCCCCCCATGTCCACTGTTCTCTGCTGGATGTTGAGTCATGGCGCCAGCTCCTTTAGGAGAATCTGTGATGCTGCAGACCGGGGCCCTCCCGGCCTCACAGCCTCCCTGCCAGGGTGTAGACCTTACAGGATCTGCTACTACTTCTACTCAGAGTGGGTTGGTGTGATTTCTTGGGGAGGAGCCCGGAGGGTCTGTTTTTTTCTGGTGTCTCTGGCCTTACCCCTGGAGGAGCTGGAATTTCAGCTCATCCCACAACCATCTTTTCCAAACTAGGGAGGATCCAGGGCAGGGTGGGCAAGTGTGGAGGCTGTCCCAGGATGAAAGCAGCAGCCGCCATGCGGCCAGGGGAAGGGACACAGTTGTCCTTACTGAGGGTGGAGAAAGGACCCTGTGAGTGCTTCTCAGCTGACTTCCAGATTGCATAGCGTGTCCCTCCTTTTCTCCTCCTTTTCTTGTCTTGCTTCGTCTTCCCTTCCTGCGCCCTCTCACCCAAAAGACTCCCTTAAGTGCTTCTCTCACTGAACAGAAGTCTGCCTGGGGCGGTGGAGGGTACACGGGAGGGAGTGGGCAGCTCCGCTGGGTAGGGCAGTACTGGGGAAGGCAGCCTTCCTTGATCAGCTGCCCTATTTTCCTTGTGGAAAACAACCACGAGGCTTCCCCTGAGCAGGGTCATCCTGAGCTAGGTTCTCATGGGTTTGTCCCTCCCAACTGGCCCTTTGGACAACCGGAGATGCATTTTTTCCAGGAATGTGTCTCCAGATGGCTTTGCTCCAAAGGACATCATTGGTCCAAATTGTACATGGTATCTTCCATCATTTGCCTCTCTTCTGTGTTTTCAATCTCCTTGCATGGCTGTCACACCCAGCCAGGAGCCCAGAGCCCACCGGTATCACCCCTTCTTCCCTCGACAGCTATTGTTCACCAAGTCCTTTTAACTCTACCAGGGTAGCTGTTCTCAAGTCTCCCCTGTCTCCCACCTGGGGCAGGGCATAGGTACAGGCCTGCAGGGTCTCTTGCCTGGGGTCCCAACTAGGTTCTTTTAAATCTGCCAACCTGCTCTTTTTAAAGTCACCTCTTCACAATGTTGTACTTTGTACTTGAGCATGTTTTGGTGTCTGTTTCCTGCTCCTGCCATATTTAAACTCCTTTAGTGGTTCCCCAGGGGTTTCAGCATGAAGTTCAAATTTCTTAACTTGCTGTTTAGATTCTTACCACGTAAGTTCTTGATCTGGCCCCTGACAGCCTCTTTAACACCACTTCAGGCCACTGTCCGCATCTTCCTCCCCTCTAAAGCCATGCCTCATTCATCCAGCCATTTTACATGTATTACTCTTCCCTGACACTACCCTGTTTTATGATTTTCTGCCTTTGCAGGTGATGTTCCTTTGTGTAGGATGTCTGTCTTTCCCTTCTTGAGTACTTAACTCTTACCATCTAAAATTTTTCTCTAGTGTTACTCTCTTCTGGGAAGCCCTCCCTGACTTCCCAACTTGGATTAGATATTCTCTGGATAGTCTTAGCTGTAGCACCCTGTACTCATCTCTGTCATGGAACTTAGTTTACTGTGTCATAGTTTTTTATATGCTTGGCAGTCTTCCCTATAGAGTGCATATGCTCTGTGAAGCCAGAGTCTGTTTTATTGATGTTTCTATCTCTAGTACCTAGCATTGTGCCTGGCATCTAGTCGTTATGTTTATGGAATTTATACATGAATGAAGTTCTTTCATCTGGCTAAGGCAATGATTCCTATTAGCAAGTGTCTATAGTTCAGGAAGGAAAACATGGGAGTGAAACTTGGGATGGAACTTCCTTCCTTCTTCAGACCCGGCAGAGCCTGCCCATCCTGACAGAGCTGTGATGGAGGGCTACACACTGCCTGTCCACTTCCCCCATCCACCACCGCTCACCGTCCCATGCCCTCCACTCAGCCGGCTGGCAGCCAGCTCCCTTAAGAGCCACATTCTTGGAAAGAGAGTCAGGCTAGCTCAGAAAGTGAGGGGCTAGCCTGAGCCTGGGAAGTGCCCAGAGGCCCAGGGATCTTTCTTTTCAACCTTTCGTGTTCTGGCAGCTGGTGGACCAGACCCCTGAGCTCCCTGCCAGGCAGGGGCTGGGGTGTTTGCCCTGCCACCTCCCTCTCATCATTTGTCCCAGAGTACGGGTCCTGATGCTGGTGGCAGTGTTAGTAGTGGTGGAGTGGGGTGGCTTTGAGGGGGCTGCAGAGCCCTCGCTGATGTTTCCATGCACAGCTGTTTTCTATCTAATGGAAAAGTATGCTCTCTGCCTCTCTTGAAATCTGTGTAGAGTTCAATTCCGGCTTTGTATTCTGCTGAAGGATAGCCTGACTCTGAAAGAGACTTTAAAAAATTCAAGTCTATAGTTCACACTAGCACATTCCAGTGAGCATGTTCATAAATGGCCCACTTAGAGGAGATAACAAAGACACCCGTAGAGTCTGGGCTGTCCCCTCCTGTTAACATTAATGGGACCCCCACGGTCTGACCACCATGTGCTTCTTTTCAAGCCGACTCCAGCAGTCCCATTTCTCTGTTTAATGGCATCAGGATGGATGGAAATGCCACTATCTTTTATTAAAGCCCAGAACTTCTGGAATGGGATAAAAAAGAACTGATTTGCTATTCTTGCTATATTGACAAAAATTTATCCAGATCATGATTCTTAAAGGTTGTGCAAAAAAAGGGCCATTCATACATTTGGCAGATGAGATTTCTGCCTCAAAGGCGCTGAATCCTGCTAAACTCTAAAGGACAAAACCAAAATTGCCTCATCTTGCTTTTAGCTGTCTTGTAAAACTAGGGGCTCTACACCCAGTCCAGGTCTTTGGAGGCCCTTAACCCTGAGGTTGGTCTAGAGAATCCTGATGGGCTTTCAAGGGTCTCCTGAGGCAATAATCTTGATACACATGAACAGCTGGATATTGGAATGGACAGTTGTCTTGGGGACCTTTTAAAGTAGTGTCTCTGTCTTAGATTCTGGGGTATAAAGTGGGCTGGATTGGAGAAGACCAGCCTTTCACCTTTCCTGGAGAAACTAGTCCAGAGGGCTTAGGAGACCTCAAGACAGCTTCTATTTTAGCCCAGTAACCGGAGCCTAGTAAACTTAGCCTAGTTGTTTTACCAGGTTAAATGCACCTTTAGGCAGATAGATTATTTTAGTTTCCACTTTATAGATAAGGCCCAGATAACTTTTTAGTGGTCCTAAAGCAAGCTGGAGGTGGAGATGGGGCTTGTATTCAGATTTCTTTACTCCAAGTTCAGTACTTTCTGTGGTTTTTTGTTTTAAAGGGGACCTGTCCCCAGATGTCCTTCTGCCATCAGAGTAGACTAAAATCTGCCAGTGCTTTTTCCCCACCTGCCTAGGGATCGGATTCATTTCGTTCTTTCCTGGCTTTGGAGAATGTAGTGCATGGAATAGCCAATTGACTAGTTTGTCATTTGGAACCTGGAACCAGCTGAGTCTCTAATAAATCAGATGATGTGTGGGTTGGGAACAGCCCTGAGCCCAGTTGCAAAGTCAGAGAGGTAGCTCGATTGCCTGGTGTTATCTGACAGAAAAGCCTTGGGCCCGAGTGGAAATATCTGAGTTCTAGAGTCTTTCCAGTTGTCTAGGCACCCTATGCCTCAGTTTTCCCTATTTGTAAAATGGTGTTAAACCTGACCTACCTACTTCACAATGCTCTGATTAGGGTAAAGTGGAAGTGCAGGGGACAAGTCAATTGTTACACACATTTGAGTGCATCTCGGTGCTCTTCTGAGCAGTGAGTCCGACTCACAAGGAAGGCTGAGTGCCTCACGGGAGCTCAGGTCAACAATGGGTGTCTGCTTCTGACGGTGTGGCTGTGGTGTGAGTGTCCAAGTACTGTCAGGACATGTTTGAACCTGTCTTTTCTCTCCTGCGCATGCTCCAGGCTGGGGGAAGTTTGCTCGGCTAACCAGAGCCCTGACGAGCAGCAGGGGCGTCCTGCAGCAGCTGGCTCCCAGCGTGCAGAAGGGCGAGAACGTCCACAAGCACTCCCGCCTGGCTGAGGTAAGGGCGAGGGGTGGGGTCATCTTAACTCTCACTTCTCTGGGGTCCACGGGCTGAGAAATGATACAAAATGAATGTGCTGGTTTGGAGGGGACCTTCAGGATCCCCAGATTCTTGTCTTGGCTGGGCAACACACATGATGTGTGACTTTGGGTAAGTGATCTAACTTCTTTGAGCTTGGTACTTCCCATATGGAAAAGGAGACGACGGCAGCTCTATTCCAACTTGCTTGAGGTTACGGGGGTCAGTTTACTTTTTGAGGGAGTAGGGAAGGAGCTAGAGGTGCAGCATACATGAAGTGTTTTTACTTAGAGTCCATAACCAGTTTTGTTATTTGACCAATACATACAGGAAAAGAAGATACAGGAAACAAAAAGAAGAAAATAAAAATCACCTGTAACCACACTAGCCAGGTGACATTGTTATAGTTTTTGTATACATTCCTTAACTTTTTTCTTTATATATATCTTATGTCCTTAAAGCCTACAAAATACATTTTTCACATGTTAATATTTATGAAGTTGAGATACATGCATACACTTAATGTGGTTGTGTTTGTCCCCTTATATAATTATGACCATCCTTCAGGTTAATGAATGTACCTAAAATTCTTGTTGCTTTGAAAACCTTCATAGTAAGGAAAACTTACGGTGGCATGTTCTTTCTTTTCCTGGGGCAAATGAGAGGCTGGGACAAGATGCTTCACCAGGCCTAATGCCCCCCAATTACTATTATCTGTTTTTGGTTCTGTATCCAAATCACAGTTATCTGGTCTTCATTTTTTTTAACTGGAGCTGGATGGAGCCACGTAAGAGCTTTATACCTCTTACACAGCAGGCTTCCATCTTAGCCGTCTCTCTGCCTGGCGGTGGCCAGTCCGTTCTTGATGCAAGCTCAGAAGATAGTGCCCTTTCTGACCTGACTCCTGGTTCCCATAAGTCCTAGGAGAGAAACTCCCAGCAGGGCACAGCTCACTGTGGGTGCTCTGCCTGTGTGCACCCCAGGTTGGATGAATTAACTATGGTAGATTGCCTCGTAGCAGCCAAAAGCTTTTTGCCAACAGCAGGGATGGGAGCATTCATGTGTGTCACATTAAAGGAGAAACGTTTGGAGGATGGCAGCATGGTGTCTTGGCCTGATGTGGGCTCCGCTGATGATTGAAAGGGTAATAAAGGAGACCTTTCAGTTCATAGGCTGCGCTTTCCCTGTCACTGCTGCTCCATTTGGTTAAAGCAACCTCCTTTCCTGATGCTTGCCACCTTGCGCCCTCTTATCCAGCCACACTCCTTGCTGTTTCTTGTATGCATCTGGCTTGCTCTTCCCACAGAGATCTCTGTGACACCTTCACCCACTGCAAGTCTTTGCTCAAAGGTCATTTTCTCTGTGTGGCTACTTGTATTAGTCAGGGTTCTACCAGATAAACAGAACCAGTAGGATGTTTATATACTAAGAGATTTATTGCAAAAAATTGGTGATTGTAGGGGCTGGCTAAGCAAGTCCAAAACTTGTTAGGCAGCTTGGTTCACTGGAAACTCTAGGGAGGAGCTGATGCTGAAGTCCACAGATGGAATTCTTCCTCAGGAAAACCTCAGTTCTGTTCTCAAGGCCTTTCAACTGATTAGATGGGGTCCACCCAGTTTATAATCTCCTTTTCTAAAAGTCAGCTGATTGTAGATGTTAATCACATGTACAAAATAATTTCACAGTAACACTTAGATCAGTGGTTGATTGAATAACTGGCTACCATGGCCCAGCCAAGTTCACACAGAAAACTTGCCAGTACAGTCCACCCCTTGTCAATTTGGCACTCATACACATTTCCTTAAGCCACACTAGCCTCCAAGTAAAGACAATAAGAAAATCACACTTCAGTCTAATGTGGTCCAATTATCCTGTGTTTAACCGAAAAGGTGCAGACTCTTTCCATGGAGGAGGATGCAAAGTCCTTGGGTGATATTCACTCTTATCTTTTATATCCTGTACCTTGAATACTGAGATGTAAACTTAACTATTTTTAATACATCTGTGTTAGATGATAAGGGGAGAAGATGTTTTGTATATATATGAATATATAAACTCTTATATAGCAAAATAAAAAAATACTCATAACTCCTAATCTTCTCCTTAGGTTGCTGTTTTTCTCCACTTAGTGCCTTCTAATGTTCTGTCAAGTTTACTTATTTATTGTTCTGTTGTTCACTGATATATCCTGAGTACTTAAAATAGTTGTCTGGCACATAATAGATGTTCACTGATAGTGGTATTTTAAAAGATTTAATCGATGAAAGAAAGGAAGTGATATTAGTGTTTTTGTCTATCTATCTGGCATAAGTAGTTGCCCATTGACTCGCAATGTGAGGTAGACACCTGTGTCCTATCCCAGGGACTAGTAAATTTTAGTTAGCCTCAGGTTTATGGACTTTTTTGATCTTTTCAAAGAATCAGCTTTTGATTTTGTTGATTTTCTGTAATGGTTTCTTATTTTTCAATTCATTGATTTCTGCTCTAATTTTTATTATTTATTTTCTTCTGTTTACTTTGGATTTAATTTGCTCTTCTTATCCTAGTTGCCCAAGGTGGAAACTTAAATTACTGATATTTGATCTTTCTTCTTTTTTAACATGTGTGTTCCATGCTATCAATTTCCTTCTAAGCACTGTTTGCACTTCACACCACAAATTCTGATAAGTTTGTGTTTTCATTTTCATTTAGTTAAAAATACTTTTAGGCTACTCCCTCTCTCTGGGGCAGCCATTTTCTCTTTCAGATAATAAAATCTCTTGCGTGGGGAAAAAAATATTTTAAAATTTCTCTTGAGACTTCTTCTTTGATACCATTCGTTATTTAGAACTGTGTTATTTAATCTCCAAGTATTTTGGGCTTTTTACAGCTCTCTCTTACTGATTTTTGGTTTATTTCTATTGTGGTCTAAGATCAGACGCCACATGATTTGTGCTCTTAAATTTGTTAGGGTGTGTTTTATTACCCAGAATGTGGTCTGTCTTGGTGAATGTTCCAGGTCAGCTTGAGAAGAATGTGTGTTCTGCTGCTGTTGAATGAAGTAGTCTATATAGGTCAATTATAGCCAGTTGATTGTTGCGTTCAGCTATGTCCTTAATGATTTTCTGCCTGCTGGATCTGTCCATTTTTGATAAAGAGGTTTTAAAGTCTCCAACTTTAATAGTGGATTTATCCATTTCTCCTTGCAGTTCTATCAGTTTTTGCCCCACATATTTTGATGCTTT